TTTCTGTACCAACGTTTGAAAGATGCAAAAACCGCTATAACTGTGGAGGAGAAATGAAAGTCAAGTCAAGCAACACACTTAAAACACAAATATAAGCCAGTTTTTCTCATCAATGTAAGTTTCATGAAGTGAGTACTGGCTAAGCTAAGCTGACATGTTGGTAGTGTTAGCCTCATATTTGTTCTACAACCTTCTCATCTATCTCTCAAGGAAACAAATAGGTATTATACAGAAATATCAGAACCCAACCGTAACCATGACTGGTCCATGTACAGTTTGTCGTGTAGTGTGATTCACACCACTGTATCTATGTCATACTGCACAGAAGACGTTTTTAAGTTATTTTAACTTCTAGCCATGGCTTTGCTGTTTCCATAGAGGTGCAGGACTTTAGATTGCAATTAAAAATGATCCCATAGTGAGTAAAAACGCGACAGGAGTAAAAAAAAAAAAAAAAAAACGCCCAGAAACTGTTTGGACGTTGGAGGATTAATATTGCACACACATGGTCAATTACTCTTTACTCATTATCATTAATAATAGTCATGTGGTTTGTTTTGTGTGTTGAAAATGAGATGTTTCCTCTGAGGACGTTCATATTTTCATCAAATGCTGAAATAAAACAGCATTTATTTATCCTCCCTGACTTATAAACATACTTTTATGTAAACATGTTCCGTATGGAACCAAACGTTCATTTGCATGTGTTCGGTTTAATTTGATCTTCTCTTTGCTGTGTTTGCCTCTGAGGAATTTCTCATGTTTACATTCTCCATTATTTCATTGCTAATTTTTTTTTGTTGCTCTTTCATTATTTATTGCTCATTTAAAACCTTCTTTTATCCACCTGTTATTGTATTTGCCTCCATTACAGTCCTCCCTCTAAATCTAATTAATATTTCCCACCACAACAATGTTAACTTCCCCTGCAGGGACCAATTGGCTCTTATCTTATTATCTTCCATTTAGTATTCATAATTGTTTTGGAGATGCATTCAAGATTTATAGGCTCAATCTGTTTGAATCCACACACTACAAGAGCACGAGCTTAATAAGATATCCACAGTGTGTTGCTGCCGGGTATTTTCTGCATGAAGCTCCTACGTAGCGTCCTATCAATCAGCGCACATAAATGCTCCGCTCGCCAGAAATAATAAAGGATTAGCAGAGCTGGAGAGCACATTATTTAATATAGCAAATGTGCTTTAATGATTTTGTTTTCCTGCCCGGTGTTTCCGTTTAATTGAAGCGTTTTGTGTTGGCCAGAAATGATTCATCCTGCAGTTATTCATCCTCATTTTTTGGCGTGTTTCTGTTGACTGGAGACGTTTTTTCTCAAAACCAACTTGTGTCAGTGATGTTGAAAGATGTCAACGTCAAGGTCCATCCACTGAGACCTTTATGTTTGACTGAAACTACAATTACGGGACTGGATGGAAAATGAGGTTTTCTGACGTTGATGAATCCACTGAGCTCCAGCTGAGTTAAAGGTCGAGTTTAAATGAATACGCAGCTGACTAAAGCCGAGAACTCATCCACGAAGCTTCAGTTGGCTACCACTGAGCACTTAAATGAAGGGTCTATAAAATGTTAACAATGACCTAATTAGTCATTCTCTTCTTAATTATTTGGGGGTGAAATAATCAACTCATCTTCATCTTTGTAAAGCATCAATCTTTAAACTGTATAAAAAAGCCAATCGATGACTAGATGTAAAGTTGTAATGGAGTGAATGTAGTTAAGCATTCAGCAGCTAAAGAACCAAAGAGTTCTTTAGACGATGGTGGAGGCCAAACCAGAGCTAAAAGGGAATATCTTTGATATTTATCGGTCAGTTATACAGAAAGACCTCCAAATGAATGCTGAGGTTGCTTTGTGAAACCTTTTCCACCAAAGCAGCAGTTCAAGGACTGATTCTGAGTCTAATGTTGAACCAGGTCTTCCTAAAGAACCGGCTCTCCATCAGGAAGACTGGTTCCAAGCCAGCACTTTGCTACAATCAAGAACTGTTTGTTACTAAACACAGAGAAGCAGCGTTTTGTTGTTTCAAGCTGAAGCTAAAAACTTTTCTTTTCTACGCTGAATACTTTATCCTGCAAATAATTTTACCTCCGTTTTAGAAAAGTGTTTACATCTCATGTCTGCACTTCTGCTATTCTAAACTGTGGATTTTAAATCGTAGTACCCTTAGATTATTCAAAATTTGAAATCTGTGTCCTTTACTATGTTTGTATTATGTTGTAAAGCACTTTGAATTGCCTTGTGTATGAAATTTACTATACATATGAAGCTGCCAGAGCAGAACACTCGTGAACAACAAGACCAACTTCAACATCATGACTGCAGTTTTATAAAGAAAAGAAAAATCCAAAACAAGCTGTTGTAGCCTCGAGTCGACTCAATCCAAAAAATTAAAGAAGAAATCAAAAAGAGAGGGTAGACTTGTAATTTTCTTTGTGTTCAATAACTCATAACCAGAGCAAAGCACAAATCTAACCTCTGTGTCGCCTTAGATCCAAACGAACACCCATTTTTGATACCTGCATTTGTAAAGCAGCCCTCCTCAGGCAACCTGCTGGCATCTGCTCCCTCTAGAAGCAGAAAAGCTTCAGCATACATGTGAAATTAAAGCGGCAGCGTGTGGAAAGCCGATGAGCTCGTTACACATCTCATTTTCTCTGCTGTTCAATGGTTTAATATTGCCAGCTGGCATTTTTATGTGTCGCAAACGTGTAAACAAACACTGACGACTGTTTGCTACGACGTTCATGAACATAAACACCAACTGGAAATATTAACGCATTGAACAGCGAGGAAGACTTTCCAGCAGTGGTCCATGAGAGAGACTAGCTGTCTCGCTACACTGTGGTCCTCGACAGAATAAAGTAGATGTATAATACTGAAATAAAGGGCATTAACGACGTGGCTTTATGGTGGCTCTTTATTCCATAAGTGTCAAAGTCTAGGCCCGCAAGATCATATCAAATGTCTATTAGAGCTGGCCCGCTGGTACATAGCACATGTACCGCTAATACTCTGCTAATGTGTTGGCACGTCAATGAAGCGTCCCCTCATTCATTAGCAACCTCATGCTATCAGTCACCTCGGGAACATTTAAGCCTCCACTCACAAAAAAATGGTTAAAAGGAAGATGGAAAACAGGAGCTTATTAATTTAAATAAAAAACAAGAAACAAACGCCACTGATGTACCTTTAATTTTTTGAAATTTGATTTCTCGTGTGCTCATTATACTAAACTTTGCTTGTTCTTAGAAGGTTTGTAATTTTGGACCAACTCAGAACCAGCACCCGGTTCACGTTGGTGGAAAGACAGCATGCGTGTTCTGATTGCGTTAACTTTTAAAGCCTTCATATGTGATGTGTGTGTGTGCATTTTTGCAAGTTAGAAAGTTCTGTTATGATTAATGCAGCTTGAAATAATTTTTCTTTATAAAGAACAAACTCATTTACTTTAAAAAAAAATATAAAACCAAGCATTTAAGACCTCAAACTTTGAGAGATTTTAATGAAATCACACACCAGATATGAATGATAGCCTCCAAATGTGTAAAGTGACACAAATGCCTTAAAGAGCCCAAATGCTGCTTTGGAGGTTTTCCTTCAGTTTGTTATAAAGCTGCCTTTTCTGCATGTGAAGGGTGTGTAAAACCTACAAACTACACCAAGGAAGTTATTCTCTGCCAAAGAAAACTCCTTGCCTTCCTGAAACACCTTCTTTAAAGTCCAGGCTTTTCTTCTGTTACTTGTCTACATCACCATGTAACACATTTGCATCTCACAAAACTCTAGTTTAGTCCTTAAATATAGAATGAACAGCCTCCTCGCTGTAAGTCATTGTTCCTGCTAGAGCCGCATTCTTGTACCAACAGATCTGGTTGTGTTTTCAGTGTTGGATGACATTCATCTGGACAGCAGATCAATCAGAGAAGACTCTGCTTTTCTATATTCTAGTAAACTCCAAAAATAAAGTCATAAAACTGTAAATGTGTAGAATATGGGTTCTTTAAATCTGCATTCTTTCTAACAGCCAGCAGGGGGCGACTCCTCTAAGTCTATGACAAAATAACACGACTTCTCACTTGATTTATTCTCCCAGTAAACATTTTCCTACAGAGTTTATGGTCTCAATCGCTAGTTTCACGTCTCCTTCAATGTGGCATAATGTTCATTTTGCAGATTATTGTCCCATTTAGAGGAAAACGGACAATAAAAGGGGTTACGAATTAGTGTATGGCTACCTGGTGATTGATAAGTCACTAATACATGGCCATTTGTCCATGTCTCGGTCATCGTGTCCAGTTTAAACAGATGGTGATGCCCAAATTCCAAAACTCAAGGCTACAAATCAAACTTTGATGTCACAGTGGTGAAACTGTGTCGCATTACACTCAGATATTAAAACTCTGTCAGCGTTAAATGAGATTAGTTTGCACGACAACACCGAATTACCCGCCACCAACAGTTGTGAGCTCTTGTTCAAAATAATTTTGAAACTAGATGCAGTGAGTCACGAGATTACAGAATAAAGAGTAGAAGCAGATTGTTTTTTCAAATAAACCATAAACCCTGCAATTAAGCCTTAAATAGCATCTGAAGAGACAAAGCAAGTCGATGAGATGCACCGACTAAAGAAAAGTTCAGGCTCATATTCACTTTTTAAGAGAAGCCAAAAATCAGTTCAGTGCATTTTAAAAGATTTGCTTTTGATTTTGAATAAACAACAGACTTAAGACACTTAAATGTATTAAACATTAATTAAACTTTCAGTGTGACTACAAACCTGATTAAGCTACACCTGTGTTTGGTTAATCTGAAACCATCTGTCTGCCTGTACGATCGCAGCTCTTACCTGTGTGTTCTTGTGCTTGTGGTTTGTCTGTTGTGTGACGTTTTCCCACAGTGTCATCGTACAGCAGCAGCTCAGTTCCCGGCTGGATGTCTCGACGCACACTGAGACACACATCTGCACACTCGCCCACACACACCGACACACACGCACACTGCACTGCCACGTTCTGCTGGGCTCGGCTTCGCGCCTGGCAGGCAAAGCTAGGGGGCAAATAAACAAACACATACTGAGTCCAAACGGGCCGAAAATCTGCACCTCGCGTTGCCACGTATTAGAGCGAGTGTGTTGCATAAATGCATCTTTGTATGCATGAAACACAGCGAGCGGTCACAGGGAATAAAGTCCACATAATGCAGGCTAAATATAATATGGGCTATATGCTAATTAACTCTTTATTCTGTGAGTTCCCTGTCGGCCCGTCACAGGAGTGCGATGGTACATTTTTTTCTCCCAGTTTTACTCTGTGGGGGAGAAAAATAGGCCAGTTTTTAATCAGGACACCACACAGTCAGCAGCACAGAGCCCGGAGCAGCAGGAAACGTTGGCAACGCACACACACAGTCGGCAGTCGAAGAAAGTGCGGATGACACACAAGCTGCAGTGTTGACAAACATGGCACATGGTAGGCCCAGAAAATATGATTATGAAATCCAATGTGACATTTTGTAATTGTTCTGTTATCTAGTGCATATTTGTACACACACACACACACACACACACACACACACACACAACCATACACGGCCCGCTGCAGTCTAATTCCTGGGGTGCACCAGCAATCATTGAGTTAGTATCAGCATCACGTGCATGAGAATCCAACTGGCTGCACTAAACTATCTGAGTTCATCATGTGGAGATATTATAGTTGCAGTTTGTTTTAATATACTTAAGTTTGCTTAACCCTCTGAATCACAAAGTTGGGTTTGAAAGGCATGATTTTATTAAAAACAATCACCAAAATTACAGCATTTATCAGAGCTAGAAACTGTGAAAACAGAAAGAGTAGTCATCTGTGATGTGCTAGTCCACTGGAAAGCTAAACCAAACCTAAGCTTAAAATTGTGATATTTCATCGAAATCATTTTATTCCTGACATGTTTTATGTGTCACATGCTCGTACAGTATGAGCAGTAAATGCAAAGCAGCAGTTCCTCAAGGCTGTGCAATGACAATAAGACACTATGAAAGAAGATTTTTTCAAAACAATATACCCTATTTGAAAATGTGCCAAAAATCCAAATCAGATTCTGTAAAAAACAAAAATAATCTGCACTTCTTGGCATGACCAGGAAACCAGGAGTGACTCAGCTGTGAAAAACAGTTAAATGACAAAAACTCTGGAAGCTTTCAGCTGAACTGCAGGTTGTGTTTACACCAAGCAAGTGACAAAATATCTCTGACTGCAAATCTTATTTTTCAGTATCGGTAACATCTGTAGGCACTTTGAAAACTCTTGATTCTAGGCTTTTAGGGTTTTTGTTGTAAAGTACAGTCGTGACTCGATAATCCCTTAACAATCCAAAACCTTGCTATCCGACACATTTTAGGAAAAACGAACGGAACCCATTAAAAACAGCCTTAACATACCAACAGCCTTGGATTCCGACTCCGACATGACATTTTATGTCACCAATCAGGATGACGCCGTATTATCTGACTGAACAATCCCACAGATTGGCTACGTTCACACTGCAGGGCTTAATGCTCAATTCAGATTTTTCTGTGAAATCCAATTTTTTGTGAGTTCATTCCATTTCCAATTAAATGTGACTTGTATGTGATCTGCTGTGTGAACTTCATACGACTCAGAAGTGTCCCGCATGCACAGAAGAGGACACAATGACACAACACAACTTCCATCCTGTTGGAGCGCACCCGCAGGGTGGAAGTGGCCGGAACGTGCACAAGCTCACTGGTCAATTAGGCGGGAAATCCAGTGATGCGTAGTGTTCTATCAATACACTAGTTACTATGACAACTATGAACAATAAATATCAATAAATGAGCCTTCAAGCATCAAGCCCTCCTTGTATCTCGACCTCCGCCTTGACAATCCGACAGCCTTGCTATCTGACATAAAAGGTTTTACATTTAGTGTCAGATCATCGAGTCACGACTGTAAACTAAAAAAAATTAATTTTCCTTTATATTTTTTCATGATTGATAGCATTATAACTTTGGTATACTGCACAAAAGACATTTCTGAGTTCTCTTTCCTTCTAGTCACAGTTGTGCTGTTTCTGTAGAGGTGCAGGAATTTATAGAAATGAGCCCACAGTGAGCGAAAATGTGACAGAAGCAAAAAAAATGCCCAGAAACCAGTTGGAGTTCAGATGGGTAACATTCTCTACTGCTGTATTTTTACATTGCAGATAGTTGTTTGCTGCTATATTAATGCTGTTTATGTTCAAAATAT